TGTCCTCCCCATATTCAGTCAGTGTCCAAGTCCTGTTGATTCTATTTCTTGAACATATTTTGTCCTCTTCTGTCTATTCCCATTACTCCCAGTAACTCACAGCTTGACTACTGGAATAGTATCCTAACTGATCTCCCTGTCTTCGCTTTTAGGCAATCGAACTGTTTTGTTTCACTGGTAAAACTTCTCTGGTGGCTTTTCATTTAATATGTGCTAAAATCCAAACTTCCCTGCGTGGTGTTCCATATTCTTAATGATCTGGCTTCAGCAAAACTTTGTGTCTTTTTTTCCACCTCTGCTTTTCTGCCCACAGGATTGTGTGCTGCTGGGAAGCTTTTCCACAGAGGCTGACCACAGAGCCATTTACAAACCCCACACACAGGTAGAATCACTCAGTCCTGTGCCTATGTTCATAGATGCGTTTTCTCACAGGTTTCCATCATGACTCCCATCACCCTTTATTAAACTTACTTGTTTGTATGCACATTTCACCCCATTTCTCTGGCACCTCATAGTATTTAAAACAATTTTTGGCATAAATATCAGTATCAATAGATATATATCAAGAACATCCTTAAAGAATTCCTGAAGAAACTTCCTCAAAGAGCTTCCTCAAGGAACTGGGAAAATGAGAACAACCTCCCGTCTCTTTGGTAACTCCTCAAACTGTTCTATGTCTAGCATGTAATAAATGTTGCCTGACTGAAATAGAGGAGCTACCTGGTTGCACACATTACTGATTCCCACCCAATGTGTTTCTGTGTTCTTTGAAAGACAATGTAATTGTGCCTTACTTGAATTAAATTGATGTGATCTCCACAATCATCCCATAAAATATCTGCTCTCAATATCATCCTCATCTTCATTTTGAATGTGGTGTGGAAAATGCTGTGGTGGCCTCCAAGTACACAACCAGGCAGACTGTTCCCGAGGCCCTGGAACTGAAAGGCTCATAGGCCAGATTAAGATGGTCAAATCAGTTAGTTTGTTAAACCAATTTAAAACATACAGTCTGAGCTTTGTGCAGTGACAATATGGTAGCCAATCAGGTTTATCCTAGGTGCAGTTATTGCTAATTGAAAACTTTTCCAGTAGCCTGCCATGACAACTTGCAAGATAGTCAGCACTGGCAATTTTTGACAGTCACTATGGAGACTGATTTTTTTTTTTTTTTTTTTTTTTAGAAAAAAGTGGGAAGAAAGGAGAAAGAGATTGGGTGGATGAATACATTAAATCAGGCAGGTGAAAGGACCACACTACTGTGGGTCACTCAATGTTCATATGTTCTTCCTCTCTCTCTGCCTCATCTGCCTTCTCCAAAGATGGCATGGTTACAAGAACCAGAGTGTAGGCAAGAACATTCAGAGATGGAAGGTTCATGGTGCCAATCTATGCTTGCTCTATCAAAAAGATAGAGGTTGCCGGGGGCTGTGGCTCACACCTGTAATTCCAATATTTTGGAATATTGAAGCAGGCAGATTGCTTGAGCCCCAGGAGTTCAAGAACAGCCTGAGCAACATGGTGAGACCACATCTCTACAAATACTTAAAAAAAGAAATTAGCCGGGCACGATAATGCGTCCTGTACTCCCAGCTACCTGGGAGGATGAGGTGGGAGGATTATTTGAGCCCTGGAGGTTGAGGCTGCAGTGAGCATGAAATGAGCCATGATCGTGCCACTGTACTCCAGCCTGGGCGACACAGAAAGATCCTGTCCGCAATAAATAAAAATAATAAAAAGAGGTAAGTATGTGTGGCTACACCTATAGCTCAGCGATGACCTGATGAGTAGTATACATTGTAAGCACGAAACAAGTTGGTTAGAATGGATGATACCAATGGGTGGTCAGTTTGAGGGAGACAAGGCTGATCCATGATTTATGAATATTTAAGGTTTATTTTTCTTTCTGTCTCTATCTACAAGTAACTCTCCTGTTTTGTCCTTTTAATGTATGTTTAAGAAGTAAATGTCTATTCCATGTTTAACATGTTTCATGGGTTAATGACGTACTTATTATCTGTATTTAACATATGAGTCAACGTAACATAAACTTACTGATAAGTTTCATCTATCCCATTTGTTTTCCTGTTCTTTAGGGAAGAATAGAAAATTCTCAAATAATACAGCAAATGCATGTTACATTATGAATGAAAAATCTGAGGCACAATGCCAGTAAGTCACTTCCACAAAGTCCCCACAATTAAGGGCATGGAAAGGTCAAGTTTCAAATATAACACATCTGGCTCCAGAGCCCATTTTTTTTTCTTTTTTTTTTTTTTTTAGTGACAGGGTCTTGCTTTGCTGCCAGGCTGGAGTGCAATGGCATGATCATGGCTCACTGCAGCCTTGACTTACTGGGCTCAAGGTTCAAGTGATCCTCCTTGCCTTTGACCTCCCGAAGTGCTGAGATTATAGGCCTGAGCCACCATGCCCGGCCTCAGAGCCTACTTCTTAATCACCATCCTAAACTGATTCCTAATTTGCCTGAGAAAACACAGCTGCTAGGTCTAACCTTAAGTCCATTCTCTTCGTGCTAATTAATCTTTGTGTATAAGTACTTTGGGCCTGGAGATTTGACTTATTCATCTCTGCATTCTAATCACTGAGCACAGAACCTGGGCAAATACTTGTTGACCAAGAGAATATCTCATTTTATACCTTTTGTTTTTCTTTTGGGTTATGTTAAATGGGCAGAATAATTCCAATTTAACATTTAAGAAAATTTAAACTTTAGCATTTAAATTACCTTAGGTATTTGATTTAAAACTGATTAACCTAAAGAAATATCTAGTTGCTAGAGAGTAAAAGATAAGGATCTATGAACTGAGATCTAGCATCGATTGTGAAACTGACCCTTTTAAAGGGTTTGTTTCTCTGTGCTTCACTTTCTCTAGAAGGAAAATTGTCCTAGTAACTCTTATCTACGCCCTTCACCAGGAAATGTTATAGTCTCTATTCTTCCTATTACTAGCATATCTTTTTTTAAAAAAAAGATTTCTGCTTTATCAGTTAGATATTATTAAAAATGTAAATCTGTTTATAAATTCATAAAATCAATGAACCATAAACATATTTACATGATATTAAAATGACATATTTTATATCCTTTTAAAGACACATTTCATGCTACATTTGGACTTGTTTTAACGTCCTGCAATTTGCTAAATATGCTACAATTTTCATTTATTTGACTGTTGTGAGAGAAAAAATTAGCCTTCTGAATGAAGTTAACATACGTCATATGCTAGTAAAATATTTTAATGCATCATTTGATCCACATTTATTTATATGTTTATTGGCATGTTTATTTCCCCACTTACAAAAATGTTTTTCTCTGTAGGAAGTTGGCAATAATCTCAATAGATACAAGACTAGAGCTCACCATAATGGGTGATTAATCCTGGCTACCCATCAGAATCACCTGGGATAGTTAAAGAAAAAAACTGATGCCCCAGTACTACCTCAAAAATTTCAGTATTTCTAGGGATGGAATTGGGACATTAAGAACTTCCCAGATATTCTAGTGTAATCTCCCTGAAAGTCTGAATGAAGCAGCCCATGGTTTCTGAGTGTTAAGTTTTTAAGAACACACATGCTGATAATTGACAATTGGGCTCAATATTTCACAGGGTCTTTTTGTTTTCTGGTACAGTGTAAGCAGATTACTATGTAAGTGATTTTCAACCTGACTCCATATAGTCAGATGTTCTAAATAAACATTTTTAAAGAATAGTTTTAGATTTACAGAAAAGTCACAAACATAGTAGACAGTTCCCATATACCCAGTTTCTCTCTTGTATAAGATGTTGGCACATTTGTTTTTATGTAAGATGGTACATTTGTTACAACTAAGGAACCAACACCAGTACATTACTATTAATTAAACCCCACAGTTTATTTGGATTTCAGTAGCTATCTTCTAATATTATTTCTCTTTTATTTTATTTTAGTTTATTTATTTATTTTTTAAAGACAGGGTTTCACCATGTTGGTCAGGCTGGTCTTGAACTCCTGACCTCAGGTGATCCGCCTGCCTTGGCCTCCAAAGTGCTTGGATTACAGGCGTGAGCCACCACGCCTGGCCTCTAATATTATCTCTTTAGTCCAGGATCTCACTTAGGGTACCACATAACATTTAGTTATCATGTCTCCTTCACCTCCTCTGATCTGTGACAGTTTTTTAGACATTCCTTGTTTATGATGACCTTGACAGTTTTGAAGAGTGCTGGTCAGGTATTTTGTAGAATATTTGGAGAAATTACTCTGCACAAGTAAACACTTGCCAAACAGCAAGTGCCAGGAGACGGTGTTTCACAAAGCTCTTTTTACAAATTATTTTTTTGCACACATAATCTAGTTTGGTAAAACTGTCACCGATTTACAATCCAGAATCACCATGAAAGTCGAATTAACAAATGTATTAGCAGCCTGTAGTCAACCAGATTGCAGGTCCAGCTCCCTAACTCAATGCAAGTTTAATAACTCTTCTCTGAGTCTATGTCAGTTTCTCATCTGTAAAATGAGAAAAGCAAGGCCCTTGCAATTCAGACGTTGAGATTGGTAGGAAGGACTCGAGAAATAGAGTGGAGAGTTTCAGTATTTAGGGCTTTAGGTCTTGATGGGTGGGATAGTACTGTAGAAGCTGCTCACTTGTTTGTGTTTGTAGAATCGGAAGGTAAAGCGAGAGGGACAAAAACAAGCGAAAGGAAAAAGTAGGACAGACAGCGTACACAGGATCAACTCTACAGACTTTTCAGGACCTGCGGGGCGAGCCGCGCATTCGGTTGCTAGGCAACTGCGCCTCCTGGGAGATTGGAGGACCCCAGGGCAGGTGTCTAAGTTACTACCTTTTTGTTTAGCCGCGGTGCCTGCTTCTCAAAGTTAATGAAACCTGTAGCCTTTAAAAGTAGACCTTTTTTTTGCAACCAAAGTTTAGGCACGTTCTGCTGTAGCTGAGTTCTGCTCGAGGTGGTTTTTCTTTTTCCTGTTCTCAGGCGCGCTGCGGGCACCTCTCGAGTAAGGCCCCAGCCTTCGCGGGTTGCCAGGCAGAGCCTGACGCCCGCCAGCTCCCAGCTCCACGCCCACCGTTCTCCTGGAGCGCCGGGCCTTTGCTGGCCTTACGTGCAGCCACGGGCTCGGAGATGGAGCCGCTGCTCCTGGCCTGGAGCTATTTTAGACGCAGGAAGTTCCAGCTCTGCGCCGATGTATGCACGCAGATGCTGGAGAAGTCCCCTTATGACCAGGTACTGGCCAGCTCACGTCAGCCTAAGCATCCTGGCGCCTAGGCTGCGGGGTCTGGGGCGTCTCCCGGCCCCGGGTGGGGAGGCCGGGGAGGAAGGCCCGAGGCGGGGCTGACCGTTCGGTCCCCAGAGGCACCCGGGGGGAGACCTTGTGGAGCTGCGGCTGGTGGGTCCCTTGTCCGCCATGTCCGCAGGGATCGCAAGTTCTGTGCGTTGATCGCCCCCTCCTCACAATCTTCAGCCTTCCCTTCCCTATACTTGTCCTAGAGTGAGAGCCCTGAATTTTACTTTGATGAGGAACTTTGATAATTCATTTATACTTGCATATTGATGGGCGCTAAGCTCTCAGCGTTTGCATTATTAATGTCTAAAATTAATTTGTATAAACAAAGATCTGTGACTCTCCACCTCCTGTTAACATAGCTGCCTTCTTCCTTTTGGATCGAACATGTGATCCTCCCACCTCATCTTTAGACTGTTGTCCAAGAGTGGAGGAGGCCAGGAGTTTAGCTTGAGGAAGTTAGAGGAATGAGAATCTAGAAGGGGAAAAGATACATTTATTATTTTAAAAATTACCTGGGCAAGGGAAGCTATAATTTTAGGAGGGAGTTATGGGAAAGAAAGGCTCCTTACAAGAAGGAATGATGGCATTGATGAAAAGTTAGGTCGGGCGCAGTGGCTCACGCCTGTAATCCCAGCACTTTGGGAGGCCAAGTCGGGCGTATCACTAGAGGTCAGGAGTTCAAGACCAGCCTGGCCAACATGGTAAACTCTGTCTCTACTAAAAATACGAAAATTAGCTGGGCATGGTGGCGGGCGCCTGTAATCCCGGCTACTCCGGAGGCTGAGGCGGAAGTTGCAGTGAGGCGAAATCACGCCACGCCACTGTACTCCAGCCTGGGTGACAGGGCAAGACTCTGCCTCAAAAAAAAAAAAAAACAAAAAACAAAAACAAAAACAAAAACATAAATAAACTAGAGTAATGTGTATAGCAAGTGGAAAAGGTGGTATACAATGTATGTGAGGAGGGTATAATTCTGGTGGGCAGGTGGCTCGTGGAATAGACAAAAGGAGGAGAAAAATAGAACAGGAGTAGTGCTGCGGCAGTTAGTCAGTGTTTTTAGTAAATGGGGAATATACCTACATAGTTCCAGTTCTCTAGCTTTTCCTCTAGTGGTGTTGCCTTGGAGATGTTAGAAAAAAATGGAAAATTGAAGGGAGTTACAAAAGCGGAGGCATGAGTGTGCTGTTACTAGGCTCTGCCTTAGCTCCCAGCAAATGGATGGTGGATGATAACATGCTGAAACGAACATTTTGTCCTTCAGATAGTACATCTCTATTAGAACAGCCTATGTTGGTGGTAATACAAAGCTAGGTTCTGTTCTTGACAGTTCACATTAGTTAATAGGACTATGTTTCTGTAGACAAGCATTTTTCCAGGTTGTTTTTTGGCATAATAATCTCATAGATACTGCTTAAAAAAATCAAATATGTCTGGGAACCGTGACAAAATATTGACAACTTTATATTGGTACAACAGAAGTTTGTTAAGAACCTTTGATGTGCTGGACATTGTTCTAGGCACAATGGTTTACAGGAACCTTATGTGCTGTTGTCATTTTTCCATTGAGTTAAGGTAGTTTTCATTCTGTGTTCCACACGACAGCTGTCCCAACAGAAAGTTTCCGCATTAAATACATTTGGGAAATGTATGTTCCTTCTTGGAGATTCAGGATGCACACTAAAGGCTCTGAGTAGTTTTGAAGAAAAGAAAGCTAATTTTGCCTATTTTTGATTAATCCAAATAATAAAATAGTTCTGAAACTTATTTGACCAACAGATTCCTTTTTTTTTTTTTGGCCCAGGGAAAGGGTCAAATAATCTTCACTGTTATCCTGGGAAGTTGTTGGTACATTGGGAAATGTAGGTGGAGCAGCAGTATTTTTATTAATGGCTAAGACCCTCTAATCTTGAGTTCATAGTGACATTCAGTATTGCACCTATGAATTGAGGTATCAGGACTTTATATGTATTCATCTCAATGACCTTCTATTGAGTGCTTACTACAGATTGTGTATCCCTTATCTGAACTGCTTGTGACTAGACCTGAATAGAAGTTTTAAAAAAATGTTATTGTTTTATTTATATGAGCAAGGGTTGATATGTTCAGCTCCAATAAATATCAGAGTAGGTCTAAGAGAATCAGTACCAGATCTGGAGGAAAAATTTGATATTCTTTTCCCTTCTAATCATTTTTATTTGTTTTATTTGTTTTGTTGAGGTAGTTTATTATGGATGAACTGTACATATTGTCAGAATAATGAGTAGCATTTTACCAGGAATAGATGTTTAACTTGATGTTATCAAAGTTGGCTTTTGATACGAGGGCTATTGAAATGTTTACAGGGTTTACTCATGTTAGTCATTCTTTGACCTAACTTTGAACACTGTGCCCTTATTACTGTATGTTTTTCATAGCACCAGTTTCTGTATTTTGCACCCACTTCTTATTTCATGTTGGAAATATTTCCCAGTATGATTTTTCCCAAGCTTGAAGAAATCCTACCTTTTCCTTAATTAAAAAAATTAATATTTATGTTAGTGTTGATGTAATTAGTGAAGAGCTTTAGGAAGAAAGCTTAAGGTAATTTCTTTGATTGCAAGCTTGAAAATTCTCTTTCCTTAGAACATGACACCAAGACCGAAGGTCTGTGTGATATCCCAAGCACCTGATGCAGAGTCAGGCACATGGGGGCTCTCGTTATGTATTTGCTGAATGAGTACATCAATCATGTTCATATATATATTTTGATGGAGTCGTTCATATGTGCCAGCTTACCCCTCTATGATGATCATCCTAGTTGCCTGATGATCTTTGTCTTCCCCGTCCCACCCTTAATTCTCAGCACCATAGGTTCTTAAATGTACACTTTCTTTTTCAAATAAATATAATTTCATTATGGGACTTCTTAATTCATTTCTTGTTTTGAGGGTCAGTTTTTAAAAATCAATTTTTAAAATTCTTTCTGGATTCCTTCAGGAGAGTGTTTCCAGTAGTAATGATCAACCCTGTTATTTCTTATAGTGTTCATTGTTTCAGTAGAGGAAGTTAAATGATGGAGAGATTCACAATCTAACAGAAATGTGATCAGAGCGGGAGCAGATGGTCCTCTCCTCTGCAGTTATCTGGTTCACCTTCAAGTTCCTTTAGCCTCATGGGCATTTATTGAGGTTCCCACATTTGAGAGTACTTTTCCTCTAAAACTATTTGAATTACTGTTCCTGTGCCACCAAACTGATTATAGTATGGAGTGACTTTGAAACTCCTGGACCCAGAGAGGAGCCCAGAAATTAAAATATTTCGTCTGAGTGCCAAATGGATTCATTTTTGCTATTATGTTTTCTCCTCCCTATTACAAAGGATAGTTTTTGTTTTTAATAATGTATTTTTTCACTTTTGGTTTTGCTTATTTTTCTCCCAGATGAGAAAAACCTCTCTAAAATGATTTGTTCTTTATTAATCTTATTATAAGCTGGCTCAGAGAGCTTCAAAAAGATAACATTTTGGTCCTGATACATTAGCCTATTGAGATGAAGCCCACTTTTAAGACTATTTCATATGCATTTATTTCACCTTTAAGGGATACTATTTTGGTGTAGAATCATCAAAAGTCTTTAATTATTGCCTTGTATTTTCTATTAGGATTTCTGTATTTTATTTTTGATAGTCAGGCTAGCCAGAGAGGTATGATGGTCTATGCCAACAGCATGTTTCTTCAGAGTAATACATTTTAATTTGGCTACAAAAGGACTGAAGGGTATATATAATAATACGGTGTTTGGCATTGGGGAAGGGTTCTTGAAGAATATGGGTTCTCAACTGCTTTTTCTAGACACAGAATGGTGAGGGACAGAGGCCGGCCAGGGTCTATAAGCATGAAGGGTATTAAAGTTCAGATCTGTTAAGAATAAAGAAAGAAAGATAACTAATTAATTTATCATAATTTCCCCTTTGAAATTAAATATAGTAGTAATAACCAATTCATAGAGAAGCATGTTCTTTTTCAAAGGATTCTTTAAATTGTGACTGAAAAAGTGGTTTAAAGTTGTAAGATATGAAGAGAGGAAATTCAAAACAGTCCTCGCCATACAGCACTGTGACCTAAAGGAAATGCTTGCTTTTGCAGCTCATGTTGATCATCATCCTGATTAGTTGCTTAATCTGTTTACTGTTCTTTGTGTTCCATATGTCAGATTCATGGCTTTAAAACCAGTCCTGATTTTTTAGCTCCATTATAATGAAACACTTAATAAAATGTGGAGTATTTTTTCAGGCAGTGGGATTTTTAAAAGACAGTATGCTTTCATTAATGGGGTAGGTGTCTGGTAGATTTTCAGATTATTAAAATCGGTGATTCTGAGGGTGGGACCCATTAGCTGTACGAGAATGGGAGAGAGACTTTTTTCTAACTTACATTCTTCTCTTTTTGCCCAATCTTTGCTTATAATGAGAGATGTTACAGAGAGGAGGGGGTTATTATTGTAAATGGTTTGGAGGAGGAGAAATGGCTGAAAATGAATGGCTTAGATGAAAGACAAGAAACCAGGGCTCCCCAGTGAGCTATATGTTAGTAGTTGGTTGAGACAGTGATCTGGTCATCCAAGCCAAAGAACATATTGTGTGATTATCTAATTGGTTTCCTCTTTGGGACCATGGGGACTTAGCCAGACTTAATCCTTTGATTCTATACACTGTGGAGCAGGTCATTTTATGAATTTGTATTCCTGCTGAATTATACAGATTACATTCCCACTTGGCTGCATGGTCACTAGATCTCCCTAACCTTCTGAAACGCATCAATTACTCTATTCTCTTACACTTCCCCCGCCTTCTTTTATTGCTAAAATTTGAATAATCACTCGGCAGTTTAAGCAGGGAGCTGAGTAGACTCTTTAGCCAGTACTGGTGGTAATTAGAAAGTTGCATTCAGAATTATTTGGAG